GCTTGCCCATAGGGAATAATGGCCACCACACTTGCCCATAGGGAATAATGGAGACCACGCTTGCCCATAGGGAATAATGGGAAGCACGCTTGCCCACAGGGAATAATCGAAACCAGGCTTGCCCATAGGGAATAATGGACAGCACGCTTGCCTATAGGGAATAATGGAAACCACGCTTGCCTATAGGGAATAATGGCCACCACGCTTGCCCAGAGGGAATAATGGCCACCATGCTTACCCATAGGGAACAATGGAGACCACGCTTGCCCATGGAGAATAATGGAAAGCATGCTTGCCCATAGGGAATAATGGAAACCACGCTTGCCCATTGGGAATAATGGTATTAGGCTTGTTTGGCTACAACATGAACAGGATCTGTCTTCCAAACTGGTGGTATTTAAAAATAAAACCTTTATAGAATGCAACACACTAAAGCACCAATTACATATTCAGAGAATCCCACATGTGATTAATGTGGTCAGAAAGGGCTACTCTATGAAGAGAGACAGTGCATTGAGCTGTAATTTTCAAACCATATTCTGGGGCCTGGTATCATGCCATGAAAGTGTGCCGAAAGAAATGGATTCACTAAATACTCCTGTGAGTCTAAAAACATTCAAGGAGATTCTCTGCTATATCTCTGCATGATTTGCTACTCTAGCCATGCCTTCCAGCCAGCCCCAGGGTGGAGGATAGTAACATGCATCACATGCAAGGTCATTCCGGCTCTCCAGCTCTCGTTAGGGGCTCTTTAAAAAGTTATGGCCACCGAGAGGTGGAATTTGCCCCTAGGAGTCCAAGGCCACCACCCTGGGGCTGAGGGAGGCGGGAGAACGTTTCGCACACCGCCCCCACCCCCCTCCTAAGGCGTTGCAGCTGTGGCAGCAGGGGCAGCGGCCATAACTTTTTCAAGAGCCCCTAACGAGAGCTGGGAGAGCCGTAATGACCTCTTTCGAGAGGTGGAATCACACGCGAGAGCTGGGGGGAGCCGGAAAGACCTCTCGCGTGTGATGTTGTTTGGTTGCCGTCGCCGCCTTCTCTCGCTCCTTCCCGGATTGGAGAAACCCGAGCGAAGCCTGAACGGCAGACTGGCTTCTGATTGGGTATTTCCGAAGAAGGAACAGAAGCGCCGTCCAACCCCAAATGGCGGCCAAGCAAACTGAGGCAGGCAGGCAGGCGGGCGGGCGGGGTCATGGACTTGGAGGAGGAGTGCGGCGGAAGGGTGTCGTTTTGGGTTCGTTCCGCCTTCCGTAGCTGCCCGAATAGCGGCTGTTGGAAGAGAGGAGGGTGAGGCGCGCGCGCCGGGCCGTGGAGCGAAAGGACAAAGCGGGATGACTCTGTGTGGTGCTGGGGGAGGGGTGGGCTGGGCTTCAACCGCTGGCCTTTATCTGTGGCGTGTTACCAGGGAGGCCGCTTTCTCGGCGCCCTCCGCATCTCCTTACTTGGCTCATCACGAGGGCAGGACTTTCGCCTCAAGGATGTACCCGACCCGGCCCGCCCGCCGTAAAAATAACTATAGTCCTGTCACAGCTGGTGGGGATTATCCGAGCGCGACCACACCCCAACGTCTGGGAAGTGGAGCGCACCTGTGGTTTACCGCTGACAATGCGGTTAAAAAACTAGTACCTCGTTTGCCACGGGCTGCCTCCAAACGTCGTTGGTGTGATCGCGCGATTCCTCTCCGGGCCCTACCTGCCGGGGCCGAGGGAAGGACCCCTGGTGTGCCGCCGGGGGCACTTAGCCACGCCTCTCCCCCCCCCCCATATCCGGACCTGAATTCAGCAGCTGAAGCTTTCCTCTTCGATTCGAGGGGGAGCCTCACCTGTTGTATTTCTGCCTCTTACCATAACGGCGAGGCGGGTAGTCGAGCCAGGCGGCGTGTTTTGGACGCTTTAAACGGGGTGTAGAACCCCTAAGCGTCAAAGCAGAGTCTGTTTGGATTAGCAGGCGTGTATTCTGTATGGGCATCGGAAAAGGGCGGGGGGAGAGTGGTGTATTTCTGCATGTTTTGCACACATTGAACATCCCCGAGGGATCCTCGGCAGTGAGGGCTGTATGGCTGCCTTTTATTCCTATAACAGAGTTTGGGTCCAGTGGCACCTTCAAGACCAGCAAAGTTTTATTCAAGCTGAGTTTTCATGTGCACCGCACACTTCTTCAGATACCTTGAAATGGAAACAGGAATAGCAGCCATACATATGGAGGGTGGGCAGTGAATAAACATGCAGAGAAATGAAGATGTTTGTAACGGATTAAAAGTATAATAAGTAATTTATGGCTATTGTCTGGGTTCAGTGGGGGGGGCAGAGCCAAGGTAATAAATATGTCAGAATTGGAGATTGATGTATCCTTAATCGTGAGAGTCTGTCATTAGGTTATAGCCGTCTCCTTGCAAGCAAGGAGGCAACATTGCAGCATCTTTTATCTTAGAAGTGGGGCTATTGGCTGTGTTCTTTTCCTTGTCCCCAGACCAGCAAAATACACTTGCATCCACCATTCCAAATTACATTACATATCAAGTAAACTGAGACTCTGTTGTTGTGTTCCATTCTTCTCCCCTCAAACATGGATTTAACTAACAGAGTCCTTTTCTTAGAGATTGGGTGCAATGTTATGTCAGTCTTTGTTGAGTCTTAGTCCTCCTGTATCTGAAGTGCGGGGAAGGGCTTGCAAGTCAGACTTAGGACATGAAACAGGCAAGCTTTTTATTTATTAGGCTGGCTGTAAAAAAAAAAAAGCTTCCCTATGTTAAAAGCCACCCAGGTGCTGGCATGAGAGTGCAGAGACTTCAGAGAAGGATGGGGGGTTGCTGGAATGATCAAGCTGCTTTCTTCCATCCCTGGCACAAGGCCCGCAGGCTCAGGGAGGCTCACAGTTTACCCAACCTCCAGTCCATCCAGGGGCAGTTGTATCAAGGTGGGACCCATCTGTCAGCCACAAAACCTCTGAGAAATGGTCTTGCCCACTTTGCTGAATCATGAAGCTAGTGCCACATTGCCGAATGGCACTCAGAAGAGCCAAAGGTGGTGTATCAAAAAGCCCCATGTGATTCCTGAACCACTGGATATCACTGGCTAAAGGGATATAATTGGGATGAGGCTAAAGTTGTTCATTCACCCCTAGTGACTCAGCCATTGACAATCAAAGTTGCTAATACCTTTGTATTTTAGTGTATGTAGACATTTTGACATATGCTACTGTGTAAATGTGGAGTTCAATCCTATGAAGGATTTCTGCTGATTGAAGGTGGAAGGTGATTTTTTTCTTATTCTGTTCTCTTGCTATAGACTTTTGGCTCACCCATCATGTTGTACCTGGGGGGGTCTCCTGCCCCTCAAAAGCAGCATTTTGGGCTGCATTGGGAGGGAAGAGGCAAGGAAGTTGCACTCCAGTGATGGAAATCTTTCTGTCTGCAGAAATGTTCATGGGATCCAAATCTTAACTCCATAGAAGTTTAAAGGAGTACCCGGGATAAATGTGGGATGAACTTTAGCAGCTAGAACTTTACAAGCAAGATCTGAAGTAATTTATTGATCTTAAGCTCATTCCTGACTAGGGATGGGTGTGAACCTAAGTACAAACCTAAATTCATCAAGAACTTGGCCCAGTTAATGGTTTGTGAACCTCGGTTGGTGCTATCCTGCCGTCACGAGCCCTACGAACATTCCAAGTGGGTTCCTGTTGGCTTGCAAAAACCATTTAAAAGGATTCCTTTTTTGCAAGCCACACTGTGGCAGTGGCACAACTTAAAAGAAGGCACAACTCAGCAAGTGAATGGGGAAGACATTTAAATCCCTTGTCAGTTGACTTGCTGAGTCATGTCCCAGCGGCAGGACTCAGCAAGTCAACTGAGAAGGCATTCAAATGCCTTCAGAGTTAGAAGTGACCCCTTTCACTCTCCCCCCCCACTTCGGGGTCACTGAAGTGGCTTGTAAAAGCCATTTAAAGGGAATGTTCAATTGGGTGCCCATTTGGATCACGGCTTTTAACAAAATGGTAGAACAACTCCAATCCAATTTTGTGAGGAAAATATTAGGGTTGCCTCTGTGTGTTTCCTATGCCGCTATTTGTTTGGAAGTCAATATGATATGCTTGGAAACAAGGGCTTGGATAATTACTTTCAGATTTTGGCTACGTTTGCATTTTAGGAACTGTCCCCATAGCCTTATTACATATCTGTTGGAAGAGTCTCATTGTTCTGAGTGGTTTGCTGCTATAGAAAGGAAAATCATCTCAATAGGCTTATGCTTGAATGATATGATGTCCTTATCTGAAGTACACATCTTTGCCCTGCTCAAACAGAGATTAATTGATATTGAGATGCAAGAGCGTAGAGCCTTGGCTTCTGGTAGATGCTCCCCTTTAAGTTGGGCACGTTTTCCGATCAACACCCCTGCACAATACTTATCGGATTTGACTTCTCCACAGCTGCGTAGAGCATTTATGCTGGCCCGCTTTAACGTGCTCCCCTCTGCAGTTTTAGCAGGAAGATTTAAGAAAATCCCCTACTCTGTTAGGTTTTGTGATTGTGATTCAGAGGAGATTGAAACAATCAAACACGTATTCCTCCATTGTAGTATGTATGATGACATTCGGGCAGTCTATCTAGAAGCCATACTTAAGAAAGATGTCAAGCAATCAGATGACAGAATGTTGTACCGTTTATTGGCTTCACAAAATACAGTGGTTATTGAAGCGGTGGCTAAGTTCTGTAACTGCCTTATAATGAGGAAGCTGTGTGTTAAATCCATGAACTGAAGGGTGACTGTATGATTCTGATCCATGCCAATAAAGGTTTTGAATTGAATTGAATTGGGAATGTTCAATTTAAATGGCTTTTGCAAGCCATTTCAGCAATCATTGGAAAATAAAATCAGTAAATTCTGTTAACAGTAGTAAATTGTAGTCTTCATTGCATTGTAGATCAAGGCTTGTTTTCCCTTGAACCTCTGAGACAATTGGTAAGTCAGCTGCTATTTTTGTTCACTACCTTTCATCACTGAGAACTAGACTTTAATAATAAGGGCTCATCATTTCCTGCTTTGTCTTATAGCTAGTGAGCTAAGTTGTGTTTTTGTTTAGAGAATTTTGCAATGTTCTGAGAGAGTTTTGCAATGATGCATGATGTAATGGTTGCCAATCTCTATGTGGCTTTATGGCTGAGAAGTTTGGACTTTCATACATAGCTCAATAGTCTTTGCTGGTAGTTCTATTAAGATAAATAGTGGTGTAAACTCATGCTACAGAGTAGAAGTCTGAAAATACCTTATGTACCATTATCTCTGAATATTAGCATCTACAGCTTAATGAGCATTTCTCACAGAAGCTGTGTACATCATTCTGTTCTGTGAATGATGAGCAGAATGCAAATTTGATAAGTAAATAGTGATTAGTATTTTTCAATTTAGCTACAGAATCCAAATACTGAAGGCAACCAGGATGATAACCATAAAGAATTCTGAGCACTAGATAGCTTATTCTCCAGGATCTTACATTTTACTGAAAACATGTTGTTCTGTTGTGCTTGGTGATAGAGGATGCTGCTTTCTTTAGTACTTTGTGCCATTCTGCTTATTGCGAATGGTGAAATTCAGAATGATGAATGGATTGATCCAACAGACATGCTGAATTATGATGCAGCTTCAGGTACAATGAGAAAGCCTGATGTGGTAAGTATACAGAAACTCTTGTAAAACTGGGTACTATGAAAAAATAAACTTTAGATTTGTTTAGTTAATACCTTCTACGGATCCTGTTCCCTTACCTGTTTTAGATGTGTGGATCAGTTTTCTTTATAGGGAATTTATTTTCCTTACCAAATGCATAGTCTTTTGGTTTGAGCATTGTTGCAAGTTACTGGAATATTTCAGCTCTGATAGTGTCATTGGAACAAAGCTGTCAAATTCAAACAAACCAGTTGGAAAGAAGTAGCAATTGTTAGATTTTGAATCTCCTGATTTTTACATCAGTCTTTCAGTGGTGTCTCCTTTTTCACTTGTTTCTTAAAAAGAAATAAATGCAGATTAGAGATGTGAACATTTCCAGCCATTTTGAAGCCATGGGGGGGAAATGCTGTTTTTCTTTTTTTTCTGGGGGAATTTGTTGGGGGGGGGAGTTTAAGTACTTGAAGACTCGCGTGGATTGAAAAAAGCTTCTTTATTTTTTTCATGTTAGCATGCATGTTGTGTTGCTTGGTTCATTTTCAAAACAGAATATTTCTTTTATATGCTACAGAAGATGGAGGAAGTTGAAGTATGCAAGAGAATTTGAGAGTTGTATGTGCCTAATACTGTAGGTTGTCTTGCATAAATTTTACATGGTTTTGGGGGAGACTAAAAGGAAGCTAAAGCAGTATTTTCAAACTTTGCCGTAAAAAATATTTGACTCCCCATTCTAACAGAAAATAGTTCATAGGAATGTTTTTTTTTTAAATTACAACTTCTAGTTTATATAGATATATTGGGGGGGGTCCTTGGAGAAATCAGAAATCAGCTTGCATTAACCATAGTTTTTCTGCCCCCCCTCCGCCAACCTTTACATGTCTAGCCCTGATTCAGTGACTCAGGTGTATGTGTGGGTGCTCTGATATCTGCACGAAGGCTCCATTCATATCAGCGTTTGAACTGATATGTATTCTCTGAGGAGATCCCAAATGGAATTGCCCATACAAGTGAATTGGGGTAACTCCTGCTTCAGTAGGGTTCCTGGTGAGCATTGGGGTCATAGAATCATAGAGTTGGAAGGGACCTACAGGGTCAATTAGTCCAACCCCCTGCACAATGCAGGATATTCACAACTACCCCTCCCACGTCCCCAGTGACCCCTGCTTCATGCCCAGAAGATGGCAAAAAACCCTCCAGGATCCTTGGCCAAATTGACCTGGAGTAAATTGCTTCCCAACTAACGTGCTGATCAGCCTTTCCCTGTGTGTGTGAGAAAGGGCCACAAGAACTAAGCAGTGATTCAACCCTCCCTCTCATGATCTGCCTAAGTTTACAGAATCATACTTGATGTCAAATGGCTATCTAGCCTCTGCTTAAAAACCTCCAATGAGGGAGCGCCTACCACCTCCTGAGGAAGCCTGTTCCACTGAGGAACCACTCCAACTGTGAGGAAGTTCTTAATATTTGGAGAACCTTGTTTTGTTGTTTTTAGCATCTCTTGCTAGCCTAAGCGCATACTGAGATTTAGCTTTTCTAACACTCTCCCTACAAGCACTGGTTATTTGTTTATAAGGCCCTTGGTTATAAGGCCCTCCTTCCATTTCCTAAATTAGTTTTTAAATTTTTTTCCCCAATCTTTAGAAAGCTGTTTATGGAGCCAACTTGGCTTCTTTAGGCTCCTCCCATTTTTCCTTCTCATAGGAATGATTTGTGATTGCGCCTTCAATATTTTGCTTTTAAGAAACTCCCACCCCTCTTGAACTCCCTTTTCCTTAAGTACTTTTGACCATGAGATTATACCCAGTATAACTTTAAATTTGTTAAGATTTGCTTTCCTGAAGCCCAACCTGTATGTCTGACTGCATACAGCTTTTCCCTTCCCCAATACTGTAAATTCTAAAATTACATGGTCACTACTACCCAGGGTGCCCACTAGTTTCACTTTGTCAACCAGTTCTTCCCTGTGGTGAGAATCAAGTCCAAGGTAGCAGATCCCCTTGTTTTCCTCTCCACTTTCTGGAAAATAAAGTTGTCAGCAAGACAAGTCAGGAATTTATTCAACGTTGCATTTGTAGCAGAGTTGGTCTTTCAACAGATATCCGGGTAACTGAAATTCTCCATGACCACCATGTCCGTCTCTTTGAGAACTTTGTAATTTGTTCTAGGAGTGTCTCATCCAAGTCCTCTGCCTGGCTTGTTGGTCTATAGCAGACCCCCAGCATAATATCACTATTATTTCTTACTCCTTTTATTTCACCCAGAGACTCTTAGCTGAACTTCCACGCTTGGATTTGTGCATTTCCTCACAATTATATACCTCCTTTACATATAATGCTACTCCTCCCCCCTTCCTTATTTGTCTATCCCTTTTAAACAAGTTGTACCCCTCAATCCCACCGAATTTCAGTAATGCCTGTTAGTTCACAATTCCGTTTCTGTATTAGGATTTCCTGTATTAATTCCTCCTGCTTGTTTCCCATACTCTACACATTAATTTAGAGACACTGGAATCTGGGGGAGGGGGGGATGCTGTAAAGCTCTGGCCCAGGCCAGGGGTGGCCAAACTGCAGTTCGGGAGCCACATGCGGCTCTTTCACAGAGTCTAATTTAATGTTAATAAAAAGCAAATTTGGCTCAGGCCAAACTTTATGTTCACAGCCAAGCTAAAGTAAGTTACCTAGTGTGGTTATGTTGTTATGTCACATCTAGAGAGATATTTTTCTCTCTATTATTTTATGAGGTAAGAGAAATACCACAACAACATCAACTAGATAACCTCTCTAGCTTGGCTGTACTATTCCTGTGTGCAACTGCAACACGTGGCAAACTTTGATTTCCCTTCTTACTGTTCACTTATGTTTATTTCCTCATATATATGCTAGCCAGTTAATCTAAAGATTCACATAATCTGTCCATTGATACACTGGCAATAACAACATATAATTAACCATTGTTGCAGGTGAACCAAGATGCTTCTGAAAATAAGAAAATACCAAGAGAGACAGTGGCAGGAGGAAATATTTTGGATGTTTCCAAGTGCCAAAGAAAACTAGATTCAACCATTCAGAAGGTTTGTTCATGTGTATAGTGCTTTATAATATGTGTAAGATATTATCAAAATATACAGTTTACATATATTATGAAGAAATCAAAATCTTACTAGAATATCATCTTGGGAAAAGCGTTTTGCTGTTTAAACCTCCTCCATTTGTGGAGATGTGTGTGGTGGTGGGGATTAGTATTCATAATAATATAGTGTGAATTACACGTCTGTGAGAATTTCACTATTGACATTAGGGATGGGCACAAACTGGCTCATGAACTAAAGTTTGTGGCGAATTTTGGGCCATTAGTGTTTTGCAAAGTCAAGTTCATGGCAGATCATCCGGCATGAAATTTCAAGTTGTTTGTGGAGGTTTGTGCTGGTTCGCCTGTCATTTCCCCAGAAAGCACTTTCCTGGGGCCCCTTCCGGGGGGGGGGGCGTAACTTGGACCTTGTAAATGGAATCCTCACCAAACTTGGAGGGCAGTCAGCTGGAGATCCCCTGCAAGTTTGGTGTCTCTAGCACACCCAGTGGGGGCACTCTACCACCTCACAAACCTAACTGGTTTGTAAGGCGGCTAAAAGTTTGTGACGGTCTGGGGTTCATGAATGAGGCACAACATGAACCGAACCGGAAAAAATGCCCATTCCTAATTGATATCAACACGAATAGGATTGCTTCCTTAGTACATGCCTGTGGGCCAAAACTTGATGTGTCTTCTTTATTTTATATGGTAATTTGGGTATATTGTTATGATGTTGTTCAGTTTTGTTTTTTAATTCCTCAGAGATCTAGGATGTAGCTGCCATATCTTTGCTGAAGGTACAATTTTACTGAGGACGCTTTGGCTAAACAATCATTGGAAGGCACTTTCTGGACCAGAAATTAGTATCAGTGAAATATCATTTGGCATGTGATTGCATCTTTAGAGGCCTCGTTTATACTTTTATTCTGTGGTTTCACTTTGGAACAAAAGATTTTCTGGTCCAGCTTGTATCGATGTTGCATAATTGTCTGATTGTATTGTATTATGATAGAAGCCAATTGGTCCTCATTGTGTTTGACCTCTGAAGAAGGCCTATACGGGCCGAAACACGTCAGGTCACATCCATTGGCCCTTGTGTGTAAAATTTTGGCATTTTTACATGAGGTGTGATTGGGCCCTTATATGTTTTTTAATTCTTTGCTAATAAATACATGTATTTTTTAATATTATAAACATTACGTTTTTATTGTTGGCCCTCTATTCTGTTTGACCTACCTTTTTAGGTTCTGGTTCCCAGGTTTCAGGGTTAAGTCGTCCCCCCCCCTTTTGTTCCCAGCTGGCATATCACATGCCAGTATACATATGATGGGTGACGTTCATGTTCAATACATGTCCATGCATGGTGTATTCTGTGCTTGGTTATAACAGACTTGTACAATCTGTGAACCATCAAGGTAAATTCATCCAACCAGCTGTGTATTGTGGCTTGCCCACTTGACAGCATCCTGTTTTTGTAGTCCAGGATAAATAGGATAACTGAGAAATTTATCTCAGATAAACTACCATTTGTGATTGGTAGGCTTCATTTGGTTTAATGTGTTACATGTTATACTAGTCTGATTTATAAACTCACCTGGGACCTGAATCATTTGAAAACAAATCAAGATTTTGTCACTCACTCATTATTATGGCCCATAGGTCATTCAGAAGCAGAAAACCCCCACTATTTTATGCTTAATTACCTACATAAAATCTCAGTATACGTCATTCATCCTAGTTTATTTTACTAGTATATTTTTATAATCTGAGTAGATTAAACACAGGATATTATATTGACTTGTATTTTCATCAAGATTCTTTGGATCGTTTGAAAACAAACAAAGCTATTTTTGTGTTTTTTGACTGCATTACCAAATGGTTTTAAGTCCAGAGTGCTTATACAGTTGACTCAGAACTGATAGAAGGCAAACAGTAGCTTTATGTGTTTCAGTCCGATAACTACAAAAGCTGCAAAAAATTGTTGCTGGGCCACAGAAATCTCTCTTCATGGTTGGCTGTAGTATGCATTTTGTGTATGGCATGAATGAAATAGCTGTTTGGGGAAGATATATTAGTGAAGCACCTTATTTTTTGCAGCTTGAAGAATATGAAAAGAAAGAGAAAGCCAAGTTGTATGAAAGCAATAGCATTCATGTTTTTAAGAGATACTTGAATAAGATTTTAATTGAAGCAGGAAGACTTGGTCTAGTGAGTATTATTATTGTTGTTGTTGTTATTATCTTCGTGTCTTTCTCACTGAGACTTTAAGTTTGATTACAAAATATGAAAACAAGTCAATGAAAATATGAAAAACAGTTCAATCAGAATATCACCTAAAAATACTGAGCAGTTTTTATTGCATTCTATATTATTTAATGATTAAAGTTCATTCCTAAAACGTCCTGTGCAAGCAGTGCATCAGTTGTTAAGATGAGGCATAATGAGGCTTCTTGGTAGAAGCACCATGCCTACTGTGTGCTATAGTGCTGATGCCGTACAGACATCCACTGTTCCACCTATGATTCTGAAGTTCCTGGTTTTCTGATTCTTTTTCATTGGTGTGCTTCTGCTTTATATTATCTGTTCACCTGCTTCTTTTTATTATGGTGATCCTTCTTTTGGTGCTTCTGCTATTTTAGATTATTTATTTGACTTTATATTGTTACAGGATTTTACAGTTAACTTTGGTTGTCTGATTATTAGGTGATTCTGTTGTACGAGTTATCTTATTGTACTGTGAATGATCTTGAGTGTATATTTATAGAGAAGTGGTACATCAGTATTTTAAATAATACAATAAATAGGTCAGTTTGTTGTTTACTTGGTGTTGAACTGAAGAAACAACAAATCTAATTATATCCTCAACAGTGCAGACAGACCTTGCTCTGGGATTCTTTGTCTGTTACAAGTGCTACCATAGCAATCAATCAGCATTTTGCATGAACACAGCAACTTGCCAGCACTGATTAACTGTCAGAATTCTTTTAATTTATTATTTGCCTTTGCAAAACTGTTCACTAAAAAGTTAATTTTTTTGTTCCCCGACTTCAGCCTGATGATAGAATTGGAGAGATGCATTACGATGCTGAGGTCATCCTTACTAAACAGACACTGAATGAAATCAGCAGATTTCTTAATGAAGAGGGCTGGAAATCAGCTGCTTTGGATGATGCACTTAGTGATATTCTGATTAATTTTAAGCATCATGATTATGAGGCTTGGAAATGGAAGTTTGAGGATGCGTTTGGAGTTGATCCCTACAATATCTTCATGGTGAGTGAATTTTTCTATAATAGTATGTAATAAGGTATTCTACTAGTAGAAATGTCATATCAGGAGTAAAAGTGCAAACCATGCTGTGGCTGAGCAAAATCAGCTCTTCCTTCAGGAGACAGTAAGTGAAGTAGGTACAGTTTTTACCAGGGATAGTCTAGCAGCTATAAGTAGTATCTTGCTACAGGCTCACTAACAATTATGCATAAAGCTGCTCCAGAGTCCAGCCCCATTTTTTCTGTGGGCTTAGACTGGAGTGACTCTTGAGTAGGATTACACTATAAAATTTGTTAAGAATGCAAACTTAGAAATTGTCAAGGACATGGTAGACTATTCAGTGCATAACTGATAGACTGAATTAGCTTGGCAGGTCAGAAATTGCGCAGGCTTGCAATAAGTTGTGCCTGTTTAAACTCACTGACAATAGTCTGCTGTCAGGCTATTCTAACTTAAAGGAGGAATTATTGCTGTTAGAATACATGGGCAGTGGTCACCTACCTGACAATTTTTATATTAACTTCACCATGTTAATTCTAATTCTAGAGATCTGTTTTAGATATTTATTCCCTGCTCTTATCCCTGAAGTGGCTTACTACATCATTCTCCCCTCCTGTATTTTATATTCACAACAACCTTGCGAGTTTGCTTAGGATGAGAGGCAATGATTGGCTCAAGGTCACTCACCAAGCTTCCGTGGAAGAGTGGGGATTCAGACTTGGGTCTCCTGGGTCCTAGTCCAGAATACTAACCACTGCACTGTGCTGACCTAGATGGCATGCATACGACTTCAAGCAGAAGCTGAATTTTAAAAATGAACAATGTATTTTACTGGTTTTAAATTTTTTCAAAACTTTCAGAAGAGGTGAGGTATTCTTTTCATGAGATTGACTATTGAAGTTTTTCAAGACTTTGCAACTCTCATACCATTTTTAATCTGTTTTCCCAAGGTACTTCTGTGTTTAGTGTGCATTACAATGATCGTTGCTACAGAACTCTGGACACGCATAGGTTGGCTAACACAACTCAAACGTGTTTTATTTATTAGTTTTCTCATCAGTTTTGGATGGAACTGGATGTACTTATATAAGGTATGTAATATTAAGAAGGGAGAACAAGGTGGGTATTTATTTGCTCTGGAAATAATCTATGTACAAGTTGAAATTGCTACTTACACTCTCCCCATTAGCCTCAAGAGTTCCGCACTCACTGCTGTTGAAATAGAAACTTTACTTCTTGCTGCCATGTACATTTTGGCCCATAACCCAGATATAAACATTGTTTGTGCACAAGCATACTTGCTTTTCTGTACTGACTTTTTAAAACTTAGTATGGTTCTTTAATTTTGCTTAATTTCATCATGGCATAGTAGGTTTAAATGTTTTCCATCCAGTATGCAGTTTTTTCCACAAATGTGTGCTGTACTAGTTCAGTAGGCCAGCTTGCATACTGATGAAAAGCAGTCACTGCAGAGTCACCGTTGCTGAGACACCCTCTCCAGTCTTGTACTCTTTGCTCTACCTGTTTTAAGTAACTCAAGGTTCAGTCACAGGGATGGAGAGAGCCCAGCTTGGAATGCCACGCAACACAAGTGCAATCCGCCTTAAAAATTGTACATTTTAATTGGTAGAGGTTGTACATCCCTGCTGCATATGAAGACAGTGGTCAGTATTCTTGACCACTTCATTACATTGTTCAAATCAGATGCAATGAAAACTGAATTTTTTCCATCTTAAACAATTTTTTAGAAATAAGATAGCAAAATGAAATTATTTAGATTTTAAAAATTAAAAATTCCATTGGTGTTTGTTTGTAGGTAGCCTTTGCACAGCATCAGGCTGAAGTGGCAAAAATGGGGAATTTTGATGATGTGTGTGCTGACAAAATACACTGGAGTGATGGCCTTTTCGGTAAGCTCTCTGATTTCTGGTTTGCTACCATAAGTTTCCATGTCAGATGTTTTATGTTAAAAGTGGTACTTTAAAAAATTGGATATTGTACATTCCTGGTAGTGTCAGTTGGACCAGTTATTTTAGAATACCTTATACCAATATTAACTGAATATTTAATATCCTATGTATTCTAGCACATCAGAATAGTTTATTGGGATATATCATACATGCAATTTGTTTGAAGGTAATCTCTCATTCCTGTCAGTAGATTCACGGTTGTCGTTGAATGGTTTACATTTTATATATGGTTACTTGGGTGTGCATCTTGAAATAATTCCAAAAACCATTCTATGGATGCAGCACATTTTGTCAGGGCTAAACAATACGTTTGGCACAAGAGACCCCAGTATGGAAAGCAGCATCTCTGGCTAAACATCTGAAATGTGAGAGTAGTACTGACCCAGTCCTCTGGTCACTCTTTCTCCTCTTTCTTCCCCAGCTGCCCTTTTCTAGCTATGTATGTCTGGGAAACCTGCCTGTGGAAAAGCATATAGGAGAGCAATGGCAGGAGGAAGGAAAAAGTTCTACTTCAGATTTTACTTCCATGTTAAAAGTCCAGTGGAGACCTGGATTTTCAGACTTAAGTCTGCTACTTAATGTTTAGGTTGTGTTTTAGACACAGCAGCCGCAGCTGTATAAGAATGCTGCTTCTCAAAACTGGATAGTTCTCATCAGCTTGAATTTTGCTTGAGATCAGTTGAGGAAACTCATGAAATGCTCATAACTTGGCTGTCACCAGCTAATGTCATATAAGACTTCTCCTCCTTACCCTCAAGGCCATTTGTGGCAGACTTGAGTTGCTGCTGAACAGCTGCAAAGTCGCTGCGGAGTGGGGTGGGGGAGCAAAATTTCCAGCTGATCAGCATATCCTTCTACCACTGTACTCCTACAAGGTCCTTACCCACACCATGACAAATATATCTGGTATCCCAAGCAGGAGAAGGGGTTACTTCTTTGTAGCAAATCATGCTTTCTGTACCAGTATTTTCAGCTGTTGGTCAGCAATCTGGTTTCCATATTTTTGACTCTCAGAATGCTGACTAGCAAATATGCTTTAGAATAGCTTGGGAGTTTATCTCATTATAATTCACCACAATGATTAGAAATTCCTTTCATATCAGATATTGTTTCACTTTCTGTGACAAGTATATATATATACATCTAATTCTATATTTGAATATGACCTAATTATTATCACTTGCTGCTCCAAAATCAAGTCTCTAAAATATGGAGTGGTTTAAAAATAATTAATTTATCCCTATAATTGAAATAGTTGCTATCTTTGTGTTTAGCTGTATGATTTCTTGCTTTTTAACTATAGAATGGTTTAGAAGCTCATGGACATTCCAGGATGACCCCTGCCAAAAGTACTATGAAACCATATTAGTAAATCCTATTTGGCTGGTTCCTCCAACAAAGGTATTCCCCATTTCTGACCAAGCCATTCACATTTTTGTTTTCTAGTAAAGCTATCAAAATAATTCTTGTTTTGTTCCTATTATTTTAGGCTTTGGCTGTTACGTTTACCAATTTTGTAACAGAGCCATTGAAGCACATAGGGCAAGGAATTGGTGAATTTATTAGAGCACTCATGAAGGAGATCCCAGTGTTACTACAGCTTCCAGTACTAATCATTTTAGCTGTTGCAGTTTTGGTATGTATATGCACACTCTCACCTTTGTGTAAATACAAGTACACCATTGTGGAATTTAACAATTTGATATCAGCAGGTCTAAAGCTGAGTGTAATTAGCCACTTACCTTTTTACCCAGAGTAAGCAGATAAGAGATGTCTGGGTGGGGTCCGAAAGAACATCATATATCTTAGCTGGAGCTAGATACAGATATGACTAAGTGATAGCTTTGGAAATATAAAAGGGAAAGCAACTATTTCTCCATCCCCCAAGCACCATTGCTGCATCCGGAGATCTTTTTGCACTAGGCACAAGTTAACCTTCATTCCATTTTAACACTGTTATAAACTGCAGACTTTGCTTTTCCATGTCTGCCACGTTGTTTCTCTCCTCTGATTTTTCTCCGATTAACACCCAACTTGAAAGAGAGTTTTGGTGAACTCATAGCTTTCCAACTACTTCAAGTTGCTTTTAATAAAATATACAGTTGTGTTTGGGTTGTTTCTAATGTACCAGCATAATTACTTGCAATTTTAGTTCTATTACAGTTGCCACTCCCCACCTTTTAGAGCAGAAGAGGCAGCTGGGGCTGTCCACTTTCAGCCCTGGAAATGTTGTATAGTGGCCAAGATAAAAGTTAAAATGAATTTAAAATGTTGTATTAAAGTCCTCAGTTTGTAGCTTAGGAATGTATATAATAACTTCTCAATCAAGGGAAATCTAAATGATTTCCCACAGAAAAAATCCTAAAACATGCTTTTTGAAATACAAAAATGGATATTTTTAAAATGAATGCAGTGCAGTGTTATGGAATTCTGAACAATGTTACAAACCTTGATATTTTGCTCTGTCTTTGGTTATGCAATGATTAATAATGAATTATATGACCTCGTAGTTCTGATCAGATAGATATGAGGCTGATCTGAATTCTACAGTGATTTTATCATGTATGTTTTAAATTCTTATCCACCTTGGTGGCCCTTGTAAGAGCAAAAAGGCAGAATACAAATTTTGTAAATAATTTTTTTTAAAAAACTGACCTATAGAGAACTGCAGCAACACCATTTAATTATTTAGATAAGAAGGGTGATAAATGCAGTAAAACTAGAAAATCTCAGGTGGGGTACGAAATATTGTTTAATGAGGAATAAAAAATGTATGTTGGGAGTCCTATTTATTGAGAAAACAATCTAAAGACTGTAAAAAGGATTAATAGAAAACTAAAGGTGGATGTCTGAGTGCTTACTGGGTGTTTACACTGAGATATGTCTGCTATAGAGTTTCTGCTATGGGGCAGGAAGATCAGTTACTGCATTAAGGCAGTTAACCTACCAAGAGAGACAGGAGCCTCCCTCTCTTCCACCAAGCAACTCGAAAAGACAAGAACCTATAGTATATCACCAACCTAATGGAGCAGACGGTAGAGTTAACAACTCAGTGGGGTGTATTGAAGGCACCAATAGAGGGCCATTTGACAGAGGAGATGCTTCGAAAACAAGAGATGAGTGCCGAAAATCTCAAGAAGGCAAGAAAAGCAGCATTGACACTTTGCGAGCATGTGATGTGTTAGATATGCCACTTGAAGAGCATCCCAAAGTGGCAGCCAAGGTAAGTCGGGAAATAAGATGTTTTCAGTAATATTAAACAGAGGATGCATCTGTTGGGTTAGTAAGTAGTTCAAATTGGATTTTTATTTTTAAATTAATGCCCTGTTCCTAATGAAGCCATAGGAAATAATTTTTTTAAGTAATCGTTAATCCATTAAAAGAGTATCTCTCTTACAAAAAGGGGCAACACATAGGCCAGGATTTTAACATGGTAATCTTAAGGGGAATAAACATCTTACAGTTAAAATATCATTTTGTGGGGCTAGAATGCATTCAACTTCTTTCTAAAAAGTTTCTCAAGGATTGCATGGTGAAAAGACTTGCAGCCTGATACTGTGCATGCTTAACTCAAAAAACCCAGTGTTTTAAATGGGACCTTTCCCTATGTATGTACTATTTCATTGTTTAAATTTACCTTACATTTTAGAGTAACCTACCTTTAGAAGATGAGTTGCCAGTAGAGCCAAAAAAAAAAGACAGTGAAACCCATGGGGTAAGTTGAATGGAGGTATAAGTGCTGACTTGTAGAAAACTAGTGTTTGACAAAAAAGTAAACTTAATGTCATGCTTTTTGTAATTTTCTTCCTAGCATGTTGCAAAGTTGTTAAAAATATTTCAAGTTCTGTATTATCCTGCTGCTTTATATATTTGTGCATTTATAATTTCAGCTGGCTTTTTGGAAGTTGATTGCTCTTCACTGTCTGCTACTTTTAATTATAGCTACATAAATATTGATTTTATAGGATTCTATTTTATCTTTCTTATTGTAAGCCACCCAGGGTACTCCTTTAGTAGAAAAGTGGGATAACAAAATTGCTTAATAATAATAATAATAATAAATAAGCTGTCTTGATTATTTAGAGGTACCCTATTTACAGTGTAATTGTATACAATGTTATTCCAGTTTTGACTGCAACTCAGCATAGAATTGCGCTGTTAGTATTTTTCTGATGCTAGGTGATATTGTTCATTCCATTATATGGTTCTATAATATTTCACTTTTTACAGATTGGACTGTATAGCGAACCGATGGTTCAGACTGACAGAGTACAGAAAAACAGCACAGGTCAAAACCTAGGTGAAATAAACATAGCTGACCCAAAGAGACCACCCCACACAGAAGAACCTACAAACAGTAGTGAAAAGGAAGCAAAGCATAACTCTGCAGAGGATAGGGAAGTGAAGCAAGAAGATGCTCTGGAGACAATAGAAGGATCAGAGAAGAGGAGTAAGAGCAACTCATGTGAATTAAAGGAACCCACAAAGATGGTTATTGAAAATTTGAGCTTCACTGTAAGTCTAGCTTCCACTCTCTCTTACATGCTGCAGAATGGGAAAGTTCAGCTGAACGGATTCAATCTTCCTCAGTGAAATAGCTGTTAGGAGCACAAACACAGGTCTTTCTCTCTTGTTGCAGCGGTTGGAAGGGGTTAATTACTTATCTGAAACTCTGGGAGTAATAAACGCCTGAACATTTCTAGGCTGTTTGTTTTTGGCCAGTCTCAAGACAAGAGAACTGTTGCAATGGTTCCCCCCTTTGCAACCAGGCATGGAGAAATTTTCAAAAGCTATGTTAAAAGATTCTAGAAGTGATACATTCTTGTTTTGTCTAGGGTAGATGTCTAAGTTTGCTGCTTATTTCAAATGGGTTCAAACTCTGTGTTGCACTAAATTGGGTATGCCCCAGGCTAATCCAATCTCATCAGATCTCAGATGCTAAGCAGGGTTGTCCCTGGTTAGTACTATGATGGTAGACCACCAAGGAGGTCCAGGGTTGCAATGCAGAGACAGGCAATGGCAAACCTCCTCGGAGTGTTTCTTGCCTTGAAAAGCCTGTGGGGTTGCCATAAATCAGCTGAAACTTGACAGGACTTTCCATCATCCTTGCATAGAGTTTGTTGATTGAACATCGGCTTATTAGAGCCATGCAGACAAATACCACTTCCTTGAAACCAGACATAGTGACTTTTACATAAACTATTTATCCTTCCTAGTTAGGTAGAGATTTATATACTGATTTTGTGAATGTAAACTTAGTATAGATAAGATTTTCAGCTCGTTATTGCCAAAAAAAATCAAAGTAAACAGTAACATATGGATTTTGATTAAGAGGCAGTTATTAGAGGTTCAAGACAAAACAAACTTGTGCAGAATCCATATGTGACTGTACAGAGGCTACCAGTAAGAACCATGCTTTGTGAGAAGGAGCTGTCCCTTTATTTTACATTTCAACTAATCCTAAGAGTACTGTTATCAATCCCTAAATTTCTGAAGATTGGTCATTTGGTCTAGGTCATGTGAAAATTCCAAGCAAGACATTAAAAATAACAAATTATTGTTCATGTTGACCTCGGGAGAGTAAATTTAAATGTTCAGCTTCATAGAAAAAGGCTTGAGCCTAATAAGTCTGCACTGGCTGAAGAATGATTAAGACATGTTCATGAGTTTTCCCCCTCCTTCTCCTTATTAGTGTCAACTGTGTTGTGTAACCCTCTTTAGTAGCAACTACACTGGCTTCAAACTCTGTGTACAGCCTAGTCCTGATGTGTGCTAGTATAGTTAATGCTGACTAAGGAATAGAGGTTGAATTTGAGGACAGACTTCAAACAAGCATTTAGTGTTGGTAAGAGATCCCTTGCCATGCCTATAGACAGTACTATCTATCCCTCATTCTACATGTATTTTCTCTACAACAAAATGTCAGGGCTCAGAATTAGGGCTGTTTTGGTTTACTTGCTGTGATTTCTGTCAGAAATAGAAATGGTGGCTTGCACATAATCCGAAAAAGGTTAGGGAGTGCAAATGCGCACACAGGCTTCTTAAACTTGAAATCTTTTCATTGCAGGAACAAATTCAGGGGAATTCTGCTTCCTGATAGACCTCCAGTTGTACCAAGGACCCCCCCCCCCCCCCTATTTCTGTTTGTATAAAAGAAAAGCTGTACAAGTGAACTACTTCATAGGCTTCAGTCAACACCCAGTACTTTGTTACATTTTAATTAGATCTGTGTATTGTTCTCAAAAACCTGAATTACGTTTAGCAGGTATTTGAGCCCCGTACAACACTTTTATCATATTGAAAAAGCATTCTGTGTCAGAATAATATTGAAAACCAGATACACGTTTTATAAAAAAAATTGCATACTTTTTGCAAGCAAAATAAAAACTTTCATGACAACATGGTTTTCCTATATTGTTTCATGTTCAACAGCTGAAGAGATGGGATTAAGCTGCACTCAATTTGTCACCCTATTAACATTTTTAGCATTTTGAATAGTAATTGAAAGATAAACCATAGGAACTCATAAAAGCAGAAAGAAAACCAAAAAGCTTTAACAATAGGTTGGATCCAGCCAACATTTCCACTGGTGAAAACAGGTGGGGTCCCCTGTGTTGACCCAGAAAGGGTCCCATGTGGGGAGGCAAAGGTTGTTGCTAAAGATGTGAGGTTTCTTAGCCTATGTCATGTTTCACCAGGGAGAAAGTGACTAAAATTAGATTTTGGGGGTGGGTGGGTTGAATTTTGCAATCCAATCTTGATATTATTCTTTCGATTAAAGTCCTAGATCGTGTGCCCTTAACATAAAGTGAGTTTTCTGCCTTCTCTTTAGTTACAACAGAAAACACCTGGTGTAGCCTGTAATTAAAATTTATTTTTACCAAGTTTTTTTAAAAAAACAATACTGTTATGATTAAGACATTTTATACAGCAGAAGTTAGAAAAACACATTGATATTGAACTACAATTTCCTATTTACCGTAATCACAATTTTAGCTGAAAAAATTCACAAGATGTACCTCAAGCACTACAATCATTAATAAAACAAAAAGGTGCCCTATACAGCTTCTTTTTACATCTATTAGACACACAATTCCAAGCACTGGCAGCAACAACTGTACCATTTGTTTTGTAAATTTACATACCATTTTGAACATTGCAAATTTACATTTTTTAAAAAGGCATAGTTTTCTGTATATAAAATAAAAAAGATGTGTTGTGTTACAGTACTAATCCCCTGATGTTTTTGTTCAGCAATGTGCTTTGCAAGAAGTCCATTAGCTAGAACTTAGTCTCTTTAAACCAGAAGGCAGAAAGACTCTCTGTTCATCCATTCGCTTTCCCTGGGATCTCAAGATAAGGCTGAAGAAATCTTCATCAGGTACAGTTGGTCCTTTTGTGACAGTAGGTGGTGGTGGTGGTGCACATCTCTGATCATCCAGTCTAAAGCCCTGAAAAATGTAAGGCTTAGTTAAAACAATGTCATTGCTCCATTGTTCTACAGTTCAATGTCCACCCTTTCCCCAACGTTTAAATCTATGAAACCCATAACTTTTTAGCTTTTGGCAGAAGTGTTATAGCCACAATCCCTCATAGTAGTGATTGTTTTAACTGATGGAAATCCACAGGCTCTGGATTCACTCTGGACCTGGAGTAGTCTAGGTTGGATCCACAAAACAAGTTCAAGAAAGAATAGAGATTGGATTTCTACCTCGCCCTTCACTACCCAAAGGAGTCTGAGACCGGTTTACAATCTCTTTCCCTTCCCCTCCTCACAACAGATACCCTGTGAGGTAAGTGGGGCTGAGAGAGCTCTCTCAAGAATTCCCCTTGAGAGAACAGCTCTGAAAGAACTTATGACTGACTCAAGGTCACACCAGCAGCTGCATGTAGAGGAGTGGGGACTCTAACCCGGTTCTCCCAGATTAGAGTCTGTGCTCTTAATCACTACACAAAACTGGGTGTAGTGGTTTTTCCCTGCATCTCAATTCCTTTCCTCTGCATTTCTGGCTGTACAGGAAAAGCTACTCCAGAAGTTCAGCCCCAGGATCATGCATGCTTGAACCTCACTGAAACTAGCAGGATTTAAAGGTGTAACAGGAGCTGCGGTGGCTCAAGTGGTTAAAATGCTGGACTGTTTTAAAGCCGAAGAGCCAGCGTTGTCTGAAGACGTTTCCGTGGTCATGTGACCGGCATGACTAAGCACCAAGGTGCACGGAACACTGTTACCTTCCCACTGAAGTGGTACCTATTTATCTACTTGCAATTTCTTGCTTTCGAACTGCTAGGTTGGCAGGAACTGAAACTAGAGACGGGAGCTCACTCCGTCATGCCGCAACTCGGATCTCGAACTGCTGAACTACTGACCTTCCACAGCTGCATATAAACAATACTATCATTAGTTACATTAACACCATACTCAGTGGTTGTGCTTGTAATCATGCAGATATAAAAAACTAATCTGCTTAAGGCTCAATTCAAATGTGAAAGTAACTAAAAAGATTCCTAATACTGTGGAGGTATTGTGTGGAAGGGACATGGCACCATTTTCAAAGAATGCATGTACTGTCTGCATTTTTAGATTTTAAAATTGGATTGAACAGACTGAAGAACAGAAGCTTTAAATCACATTTTCTGTTAGTATTCTTGTAGCTTGTTGCCATGCCATGAGGTACCTATCCTTAACCAGTATATTCTCATTACATAGTTTTCCTCTCAACTGTAGCAGGATATAACTTTCTCTGTTTCTGGCATTCAACATAGGGGTGTGCATTCGGCAATAGCCAAACTAATATGTCGGTATTTTTCTGGTATCACGTAAGCCGAATACAGATCACAGTTTCTGGTGGTGTATATCAGACTCGAATATATTCAGCAGTACCAAATATTTGGCCAATCTGAATTTACCAGCATTGGACTGGGGAAATCCAGCATTTACCGATATTTTTTGGGTCTGATTTACCCGAGGCCGAAAAATACCAGCATTTTTTTTGCACACCCCTATTCAACATATGCAAAGCAAATGAGGTGGAAGGTACAATAAAGTATGCAAATTATTCAGACTACAAATCAGGACACAAATTCAATGGTTTCTGCACTTTCAGATATATAAACATTGCCCTCAGTTAACTACAACAACTCTGTATGCATTACAAGAACACTGTTCAACTGCTTACTTCAGGTACGCAATTTAAAAAAAAAAAAAACGTTTATATCCTACCTTTCCTTTTGGTTCATAACTTTTCTGCTCCAAAAATATGGCACAAGAAAAGCTGTTTAGTGTCAAGTAATTGAAATTCAGAAAATTTCCCTGGCTATATTTTAAACATCTTCTCCTTGCTCTAGTGTTATCCTAGGAATTCTGGGATTTGAATCAATAATTTTGGGTAAGTCATGGAAATATTCTTTAGCTTCCCTAGTGTTTTGTCCTTGGGGAATCAGAGTTCTTTATTTAGATAAAGCCTGATTTACACCAACAGCAGTACGATCAGCCTATAATCTGCAAGGCCCTCCAAACCACCTTTCACACCCCACTCACAATCTTGTCAGAAAACATGTGCTGATTTCTGCGAAAAAAACAAAAACACCAACCCTCTGTGCCTCTTAGGTAATTAACTTACACTAATTCTGAATAAATGAACACTCTTCTTAAAGACAAGCTTCTATATATGTTTTTTCTTCAAACAAGGAAACTACTGTGTATGGAAAAATACTATTATACTACCTGAAGTGTTGAGTTTGGTGATTTTATGATGACAAGTAAAAGTGGATAACTGTGTCAATAAAATGAAGGCCAGAATGAAAAAAAGGAAGCAAGAGCTAAGATGTGTGTTGAAACTGTTCCCTTAGCTAAAGTATAATGGGGCCAGTGCCATAGTTTCTGGAAGCTTCCCATTGAGCCAATGGTATTTCAGTGTGTCATTAGATTACAGCATCTCTGTCACCATATCCTTTGCACAGAAGAGCTATTTTCAGTAGATGTCTTTCAATGTAATCCTATCTATAGTTACAGCCTCCACTGCTTATCAGCCGTTCCTTAGACAGAACCATTAATCTTAAATCAACGGTCAGTTTCCCTCAATTTTTAACGAGCTACCCTCCTGAAGCCAGATATCACGATATACCACCAAACATCTATTTTCTTGTGGCAGTTTCAACAAACAGAACCACAGAGAACAAAAACCTACCTGACATTTTATTAAGATGTCAAAGAAGTCATCATCTGGTTCGCTGTTACCACTGGCCATCAAGTGGCTAAGGACTGACTGACTATTATGCTGATTAAGCCGAAGCCCTGGTAAATTGCTGGCACTGGCTCGCTGATCATCTAGACGTCGGCTCTGAGAACTAGCTAGTAGGTCTAGAAATTCATCCGTGTGGGGTGAGACCATGGAAGCAGAAAAGGCTGCAGAGCGGCAAGGACAAAATAACGGATTATGCTATTTGTACTACTTTCAACAGTTTCAGGTTTCATTCTAATAACCACAGACTACAGAACTTAAAATTAAATTACATTTTTTCATTGTTTTTGCTGGAGTGGAAGATGCTGTAGCTGTTAGTCTGTTCCTGTCCTGGAAACAGTACCGCTGATCATCCATTCTGTTGCTTTGAAATCTGCTTAGCAAATCAAAGAACCCTTCATCTCCAGGCACATTAGTGTTTTTCTGAAAGGTTAAACAAAGAAATTAAAGACAAATGTAGCCTATTAGTGGCCATTTACAAAGTACAAAATTGTTTAGACAAGATAATCTGCATTGCAGGAACAGGTAGAGAAGAGCTACTGAAGCCCTTACATGAAAAAGCAATCAAGGAAATTCCCAGCATCATCCAAACCTATCCTAACAAAGCAGGGACACAGGTCTACATACACTGAGGATTTCAGAGAGAGGAAGAATTGTCAAAGTATCCAAATAATAATAATTACCTTGGGACCCACCTCCACTAGTTTTCACTACTATACTTAAATATTTTAAACTATGGGGGGAAGGTCATACCCATACGAGGAGGAGAGGAACACCCCACAAAGGAAACAATCCAGACTGGAGGATTTTTTTGCCCCACTAAAACTGCAGAACAGGTATGAATGCTTATTGGAGGATCGCAAAGAGGACGAATGCCCTTTCAGGCAGACCTCTTTGGAGGAAGCAAAAGAAATGCTCTCACCACAATATTTGGGATCTAAGGATAAAGCGGTGGGTGGAGAGGAGTATGAGTTACTAGCCTGCCAGACATATTTAGTTGCAGAGACGCTCCAAATAATTTTTTCACATCTAGAACTGATTAAAAATTTGTTGCGGGAGAAAGAAGAGGGCCCTTTGATAAACATGCTGTCTCAACTCCCAAAGATGCCAAGGATAGACAACACTGAAAAGGAGGTGAGCTCTAATATGAAATGACCAGCATCCCCAACCATGCTTGAGGACCTTAGGAAAGATACGCAGTCACTAATTTATGACCTAAAAGTATTGTTTTAAATATATTTCCATTTTAGGGGGAAACACATGGACTACACAAAAAGGAGAGCAAAAAATCATATAGCTTCAGTCATTAAAATTGATTTAAACAACATCGATCTTACAAAGTTGGAAAGATTACCAGGGATGACTTATTATAAGCGCTTTCTCTTACACTTCCGCTCAAAGTGAATTCCAACGTATTTATTTGCACACACCTCCAATTATTCCAATATGGGGATCAGGCTGCAAAGGCATTTTAGAAACTCTCAAATTCAGAGGCTAACTACCAATCCTGAAGTTCAGAGGCGAAACTCTGGAGATGGATATTAATAAACAAACCCAAAAGGAGAATATGCAAACCCTATGATTTTAGACCAACCAGTGCCATCAAATCTACCCTCGCCAATGATGGCGACTAGTCCAAAAATCTCTAATTATTCTGCCACCATAAAACAACCGACTCAGCCTATATCTGAACACTCGACAGATAAGCTCAAACTGGACCCA